AATTAATTGTTTATCAGATATCCACTACTTCTGTAAAAACCCAACCAAACAAAAAAAAACCCACACAAAAAACCCCCTCCAAAACTCCACCTACCTTTTCATTTAATGATGCAAGCAGACATGGAGCTACACCCATGTGTCCTGAGCCAACCGCTCCCCAAACCCACGTTAGTCAGTGCAGTCTATCTGTTCACCTTAACGCCCTTCAGTCACCAATTCCAAACGGGATTCAAACCATCAAGCAGAAACCTTGATATAAGACACCGATTTTAACCTTGATTCGCATTTGTATTTATTTTCACTGAAGATCATTCGCTTTCATTAAGTGGGATAGCCATTAAAATAGTAGAGATCTGCAGGCGATCATCACTGTCAAAAGAATTTAACTCAATAAAAACAAGGAACTTAATAAAGTGAAATGAAAAATCCATGTTTCATCACTGTTCTGATTTTTTTCCCCTCTCAAGATTTGAGGCAGAACATGTGGATGCATATTAGAACTAATGAAAAATGACAAAGCTACCTTAGGCATACAGGCCAACTGATACGTTTCAAATTTAAGATTGATTAAATAAATCAGTAGCTGTTTCCAGTGGGCTAGATCTCTTGGTTCCAAAGCCCTAAAAACGATTGGCTTCGCTCAAAGCATTGCTATTTTAGAACCAAAGGCTTAAGTAACTCCTCCTGTGTTGCTGTTCAGCATCTTGTTTATATGAAGCGAGTTTAGACACCCATCCTGCTTATATATATACACATACCATTGAAAATATTTTGCATTTATATCTTTTGTCACCTAAAAGTTCTTTAAATTTTGGTGCCAGGGTACAAGGTTTTTCTGAGCCACTCTCCCCCTCCACCTATTTCTTAACAACTCGGAGGGAAATCAAATAAACCAAGTCTTTGGTGGGATTTTTTGGTTCTCAGGCAAGTAATATAAACCCAAACAGTTCTTTACACATATTTATTAACTAAACTGAAATCAATATTTTACAGAAAAGCATTCTTGCGTAAAAAGGAGGAATCTAAATAACCAGCATTGTCTCCATTGTAAAGAGATAGGTACTTAAAGTACTACAAGGTATTTTGGCATCCCAAAAGTTTGAGCTGATGTTAAATGTTACAGGTGTTTCCCAAATTAGGCATAACATTAAAATAGTGGAATTCTTTAACTGTATGAAATGTGAAGTTTCAGTGACAATGGGTTTTCACTAAATCATAGAAAAATGGAAACATTCGTTCTTTTGTTTTCTAAATACTTTAAAATATATTAGATTCTTAGTTTCAGAATTGGACAAACTAAAACTGATAACAGCAAACCTTAGACATCTATTCAGATTCTTTTAATTGTTTAGCACTTGCAATTTGCTTCTATGGAAAAAGAACCCAAACGGTGTTTTAATCTTTCTTTTTCTGAAAGGGCAAGAACCTCAGTTATTCACAAGGCTCACAGGAATTTCTTGCTCTTTCAGGCTTTAAGTTCCCCAGAAATATACAAAAAAATTGCAAACAATCATAACTTCCATTGTTAAATCACTTTGTCTCTTCAACAAAATTCCAGACAAAGCACATGAGCTAAAAAAGACAATTTCTTTTATTAGCATTCATCCTAAGAAAACGCCTCTTTCGAAACCTTGCAGTGAGTATGATGTCAAAAAGCCACTGGAAGTCGGTTCACTGATCTGGCTTCCCGTCCATTTGAACATCTAATGGTTGTGGAGGCGGGGGAGCGAAGAATCTTTTCTTGTTTTACACTTGATCAACATCACAGTCCATTTCTCAAGGCAATGGGAAAAAAATGCTTAATATGAGCCAACAGTCAACCACAATTTAACCCTCAATAAAAGTCTATTTTTGGCAGAAGGTTCACCTTTCTTTAAAATTACTGTAACCAGGAGTTAAAACCATCTCTTAAATTTACTTTAAATGCTGTTCAGAATGAGGATTAAATCTTTTCATACCTGTAGCAAAGCCACTTTTGTTCACTGATGGTTTGAGTTCTTCAAAAGACTGATATTAGACAGGCAAATAGCAGACAGAAAAGTCAATTTTCTCTTATAATTTAAGCAAGACCTTGTCCATCTTCTTGAGTAACTTGTCTCTATTTTTCCAACCAGTGGCAGGAAATCTTCATTTCTACAGCTGATGTCTATACTCTTGATCTCCACATGCCTCATCCTTGCCACAACACATTTTCAGCATCCTTCTAGGATTAAAAAAAAAAAAATGTACTGCTTCCCTGAATGCACAATAAGGCACTGCATTTTTATAATTTCCAGCCTTGTAAATGGCACAGGCCATTACAGAACAGCCTGCTTGAAAAAACAGGATGCAGTACTCATGTACTTTGTTAGAGGAGACAGATCTACTTTTTATGGTGATCAAAGGCAAGAAAGACTTTCATTAAATTAAGAAACTATGGGTGAAGTAGCTTTAAAACAAAATACCTTCAGTGTAGTAGTTAAATTTGAGCAAAGAGGGCTACGAGCCCACACTCAGGACTGTCAAAAGCAGAAATTATAGTTCAAAGGTTGATCCAAGGGCACTGGAGAAACTGGCAGTGGGCAAGGAACTCAGACAGATGGAAGTCGTACAACCCTCATACATCCTTCCTGGAGATCCAAGATCAGCGTGAGAGAGTAGAGCAAGAGTTCGGGATCAAGTTTTGACAACTTCCATGCTGAAGCACTGCCATGAATCAGCATCAGTTTATGTAATCCATCTCCCCAGTCAATACAACAGTACACTTAAATTTCTTCCTTCCCACCCCGACCACTCACTGCCCTCATTCTTTCTTAGCTTGTTTTCTCCCACTACAACTTGCACGCTCCTTGATCATCCGCAACAACACAAGATGACGCCCTGTGATAACAGTAACTGTCTCGGCAGTTGAGTGTCCACAGGGGGGTTACAGGAGAGGGAAATGCTGCAACAGTCCCACGGGTATTTGCTTCCAGAAGACTCTTCAAATTCTGATTAGGGTGTGAACTAGAAATGTGTGTCCTACCTCACCTTCCCCTCCAACACCTGCAAGATACGACCACAGCTGATGGAAAGATGCTTTTGGCTGCCAAAGCAGCTATTCTTTCCCCCATTCTGCCAAGGAATAGGGATGGTGAGCAGATGTTGTTGATTCAGATTAAGATGTGGTGCTGAAGCTATATAATTAAGCTTACAGAATGTGCCTGGCTCCAAGAGAGCTGCTGCACTTCCTCTGCACTTCTACCGATACCTTTAAAGTTATCCCAAAACAGATAACATTACAGCAGCGGAGAGATGACCTGCTATTAGCAGGTTGGCAAGATATCTTCTCACCATTGAACCAAAGTTCCCAGCTATTTCCATAAACACATATATTGATAAAATGATATAGGTAGGAAATAAATCCTGCTATTTACTTAGCACTTTTTATTATAAAGAACTGCGATGTTCATTTTAAGGCTCAGTGACAAATCCTGCTTGGTACATCATCACCTTATTAAAAACCTAACGTACGTGCAGGGAATGCTAAGTTACGTTAAGTATGCTGTTAACCTGACAAAATACAGCCTGCTGCTTTCCACCTGACTAACGCTGCAGCAGAGATGGCACCTTTTCAAGGGGTGGGAAACAGACACCCTCTCCTTTCCTCACCAAAGTTCCGGATCCAGTTGAAACTCTGAACACAGTAAAAACAGGTAAGGTGTCTCAGCCACAAAGGCAACACATCAGAAACTCAGCCATAACGCTCCACTCCAGATCCATGTACGTACATACATGAGTCACTGGGACGCGACTGCCACCCAACTGAAGTAAAAGAAATGGAAACAGTCATTTAAAATACTCAATTTATCCAGATATCAAAGAAAGGCTCAACTGATGCTGAACAAGAAGGCAGTTCAAAAGCAAAAACAAGAAATGCCTCAAAGTGACAGATATTGATAAAGGCATAAATTACAACTTTCTGTCCAGTAATCAAAAGGAGCACAGAGTTCTTTTGCACAGAAGGCAAAGATCTGACAGCATTGACAGTGCACTGTGTAGTTCGTGCCAGTGTGGTCACACACTGTATTGGTGGTTTCAGCCATCAGCAAAAGGCTGAGAATAATAAAGGAATGCCAAAGTCAGATCTTTAAACATCTTGGAAGGGAGTACATTAATATCATTACTTGAGCTATTGGAGGACAAGTGTAGAAACCCAGTGTCACCTCCAGTAATTAAAATACCCTTCAAAGGGAAACCTTTGCATGGCATTTTAGGGAATGAAGGTTTCAGCTATACACTAAAAGCATGTCAACCCCGTTTTCTACTTTGTACCAGGTTTCTCTGGAAGATACAATAGATCTAATAACTTCTGTCAGCAGGATTCCAGCATAACCTGTTACTCTAATCATCAGTAGTGAAATTTACCTTTCGTCCCTCTACATATATGAGTGATTATATAGACTTCATATAGTCTCGCTATCCGCAAAGTCCAATTAATGAATCCTTTGGTTTATACTCATCCATTTATTTCAGGTAATCGACTTCAGCAAACAGACGTACTCTTTGCTTGTTCATTGAAGGGTTTTTTAATGTGAAGAGAAACGGAAGCTTCTGATTAACCACACGTGACTGCTTAACTACATTAAAATCAATTGGA